AAATTGTGTCTGCTTTGTTTTAGCGTTTAGTCTGTGGAGGGCTATGGTTATTACTTTGTGTGCAGCAGGTGTCTGCACTGCTGTCCATCGCTGTCATATAAGTTCAATTGTACCAATAAGTGACCACCTGGTTGTCATCACCTAGAGCAGCTTTTAGAATCATTTCATGCCTGGCAGACTGTAAATAAATCCTCATAGGAAGAAGATCAATATTTCTATTTGATAATGCAGTGCTGTTGTGATGATGAAAAAATAGAATCTGTTTAAAACATTTTAAATCACAAACTAATGCCACAGTAATAAAATCACACAACTTCTGTTTGAGAACAGCCGGCCAATAGTTCGCAATGAGTACTATTTTGTATTTTTATATTACTAGGTTGTTTGTCTTAATAATGCAGTCATCTGAAAAACAAAATGATAATCAACCTATAACTTATCAGTCAATGAAGAAATGAAAAGGTGTCGATACAGTTAGTAAAGGCCAATTGGGCATTAGGCCAACCAGGTGGAGATTTTAATAATGTAAAGTGGAAAGTATTTTTGATTAACCAAATTAAATAAATGTCTTGTTGAGGCTTTCACATATACCACTTCATTCACCTTCATTCTACTCAATGTTGCAATCCCATTTAAACAATGAGCACTAAATCACTTGTGTCTCACATTGTATTATATTCTGAGATCTCTCTATTCATTTTTGTGCATACCTGAAATATAAAATTCATATTACTATTTGTAAAGCAAATACAGTACACTACTAAAATAATTCTAATAGTTTTAAGTGTCTGAGGAGCTCTATATACTTATGCTTTTCATTTTTTATAAATAAAAATATTTTTACACTTTAAGTTTAAGTTATACAATTTAAGTTATACAACTAAAGTTATATATATCTAACAACAATACAGTAACAATATAAATTCAGAACATTATTAACTAATCTCTCTACAGCTTTTGTATATGTATATATCTTTGTGTAAAGTATTCCTATGTTTAAGTTACTGTATTTTGAATGATCTCCCCCCATTTTCTTACTAAAAGCCGTTAACCTATTGCAAAGGGCTTTAGGACCTTTGTCTATTAAGCACCAAAAGACATTTCAGTCTCATTCCAGCCTTGTATATAAAGCGGAAATAGAGTATTGATGCTCCATCTGGATGGCTGGCTGCTTGGTACCTGACCTTCCTACAAATGAAGAGCACACTCATTCTGCTCCTTCAAGCATCACATCTAAGTAGTTCTGACACCAGGACACTCTTTTCTGTAGCTAAGAATGAAGAAAGGCTTTGATTTTCTGACACTTTTGCTATGTTGTCGACTCTTTCCAATACAGATAAAGATGAAATCAAAAACCTAAGGCTGTTTCCAGTTCAAATACATGGGTCTTCAATAAATTCACGCCACCTGCCACACACGTTCATGGTGTCCTCCATTTCAGAGTACATTTCAAACTGTAAATGGGTAAGCAGAGAAGTTTAAATACATGGAAAATATCTGCATCTGGTCTGAAAATTAATATACAAATTATCCTAAAGAATATAACCTATGTGCATGTGTTTTGTCTACTTTAATTGCTAGTGTGGCTTCTGTGTTTTGTTTATTTCTACCTTCTATAATTAGCATTTTACCTCTAAATAAATCTAAATAAATTAAATAATTAACAGGCCAATATACTAACTAATATCTAATAACTAATATAGTAACTAATATCCCCCTTTTTATAGAATTGATAACACTGAAGTAACTGTAACTGCTATGAGACTAGAGTCCACTGTCCTTAGATGAACCCATTACTGTTATGAAAACCAATCCCTAGTTGTGTAGAAAGCCATTGTCCAAGTATGGTTTTCTATCTTAATCAGCACTTCATGATATTGCATTTTGACATCTTGGTGAAATGCCATTTCTACACCATTCAGAAAAAAAAGTCACATTTGATAAATATAACTTGGCTGAAATGCCATTGAAAATGAACCAGAGTCAGAACTAATCTACTTATGGGTCAAGTTAGGTAATAAAGATGAATGTTTGAGTGTTATTGACCATGATACAATAGATCCAACCACAATAAAGAATTCATTCTGATTATATATTAAAGTTGTAAAATGTTTGAAATTTAGAATCCCCAATAAAGGTTTAATGGACTGCACACATGAAGGAAGTTAAAATGTGTAATTTAAATCTAAAGATACAGATGACTAATAAAAAAAGAAGGGGCAGGTTTCTATGGTTAAAGGTTCAGTATAAACTTTTAAAGTACTGTGAGTTAACCAGTCCTCTTCAGACTTAGATGAATTAGACCCAATCAGGCATTCTTGTTACATTGTGGCTCTACTGTAACACAATTTTACATTGGTTTATTCTTCTTTCAGAAGTTAGACTCTATTCTCTGTTAATTATGAAAACAAGACTGGATGATATTTTCTATTAGAGCTGTCTTTTGTTCTTGTTTTCAGAAAGTGTATCTTTTCCATGTTGGCATGGATTTTGAACTCTCTTCTGGGTTAGAATGGGAAGAATTCTACTAAACCTATTGAAAACTATTACAAAGTACAGTATCTTGTCTTGAAAGTCAAGATACATTTACAAGACATATTGTCAAATTCCATATCCAGTGATATTCTAATCCAGTTTTAACAGTTCAGAAGTATTAATGCTACCACTTGGATTTTGAGGTAAATGTGGAATCCTTACTTGTGACTATATTTTTTAATGCTAGCTGTAGTTATTTATAGATTTTCAAAATGGATACTGCAGCAAAAATTAGAGCTTTTTTACAGTCTCAACTTCTTCTAACAATGTAAAGAATGTAGCAAGATGTCTTGACTGTGGACACTATGAACAGCAAATGCAAACATTTCCAAATGTGAGACGTTGGAGCCGAAACAGACATTCACTTCTTTTTTTAATAGTATAGATGCCTGGTACAACTTGTGTGAAATCATTTAGCACAAATCATGCATTAAATCCGAAAATTGAGCCCCAGTAAGAGTATGTAATTGCTACCTTATGCAGTCTCTGAGGTTCAGCGTTCAGTTGAGTGATCAAGTGTGCTGCAAGCGATTGCCAAGCTCTTGAAATTTCACTGCAGGTCCATAAATGTGTTGCATGTTTCATACTCTATCCCCAGAGGGAAAGCAAACCAGATGGGATTTTAAATGCTAAATTTCATGTTCTACCGTTTAGTAGGTTAGTTCACCCCTCATTTGCTTACCATCTGTCATTGTTTCTGTTTTATTATCTTGCATGCCTTTACAGAAATTTTAGATATCAATGTTTTGCAGGGTCATCATAAGATACTGTACTCTCTATATTACAGCTCAATACATCTCAATTTAAATAGTGCACATTACTATTAGTACTTTATAGAAAATACCACCTAAGAACCTCTCCTCATTGTTCTTCTGGAACTGTAATTTTAGTCTTTGATCTAAAAAAAAACTTATATGATCTTTCTTCTGCAAGAATGCCAATTTAATTGATAAACAGAATGTAATTGTAGGTATCTCTGCTGGGTGTCTAGAATTTGAAGTGGCAAAATACACATGGATGAGTACTTTAAGGGGATAATACTCTTGGAATGTGATTATTGTAAATTCTGTTTCTTCAGTAGTGCAGTGACCAGTATCATGTCCCAGTCTACTGGATGCCAGATCCTATGGAATAGAAATGTAAATTAAATTTAAAATACAAAAACACAGCATTTTTCCAGTCACTCTTCTGGAAAGGGCATGATGCATATGATCTTGCCTGTCTTCATTTTCTTTTTGAGATGGATATGGATAGGTTACAGAATTGCTGTACAGTACTACCTCACTAAGCACAATATTGATTTTTTAAAATAATGTAGATCAGTATTTAATTTCATAGTTTGCAGAATTCGCATTGTGGGTTATTGATGAAATAATAGATATTTGGGGAATTACAGTATATATGAAACTCATTGTGAAATGTTATATACAGCAGATACTGTACAGAAGATTTACGCTATTGAAGAAACTGTGAATTTGTTGGACCAGTGGTATGAAAATAAGGATTTAGGAGCTCTGTGTATGTGACATTTATTACAGCTCCCTTCAATGCTAACCAAAATTACATTCGTGTTAATAGCGTCCAGATTAAATACAGTAGGTTACATTTAAGCATTCGCATTGAACATAACGTCTCAAGAAAGCCTATTGTACGCCAGTTACAGAGGTTAAAAAAAAAATTGAAATAGTCTGCGTTTATTACTGAATGTGTTTGGGAAAGTCGTTTTTTACTACGGTTAATTGTGAGTACTAATTTGTGTTACTAACGTGGAATACTTCACATACCACGTGGCTAATGGTTACTGGTTTGATTACTTTTCCCAGTAACAGAAATTCCGGATACCAGTCAGATGAAAAATGCAATCGTTTTTTTTTTTCAACCCAGCTTCAGTTGCGCGACTCCGTATGTTTTCACTCACATCAAACCATTCTTACTGAACAGAACCTTGCTGCCTAATCCTCTAGTGAGAAACTATTAATTTATCTCAATATAGAGTTAAATTCTGTATTAAGTGTGTGTTCGTTTAAGTTCTTTCACAAGGGCATTTTATTTCTGTTGACAGCAAGCTAAGAAGATTAGAAGCGCAGTTTTCAATTTATCTCACACCCCCAGACCCCAGTTATTGACGAATTTCCTTATCACATTTTGCCAGGAACCAGTCAACGATTGACATCATCTTCCGTATCTGCCAGTTTCAAATTTTTGATTGTTGCTGTAATAAATTAGTTTGCGGTTTTCTCCCCCAAAACCCATTTTCTGCACAGTTTGTTGTTTCCAAGTCCTTAGTTTTCGGGATCTGGCTGGTGGGGTTGAAGTGGGGGGTAACAAAAAGTGAGTATAGGAGTTTGGGGGAGGAGTGTGTGTAAAGAGGGAAAGGGGGAGCAGAGAGAGGGGGTGATATGTGTTCTGGGAAAAGGTTGGAGATTGAGATAGCGCTGAAATTCAGTGACGCACTTCTGTATGAATTTGAGAAACATGAAAGAAGTATTTCATCCTGTTTTAAGGACACAGCCGACTGGTGTGCGAGTCGTATTTTTTTAAAAACAAAATACAACGAAATGCCACCTAAATTCAGTTGCTGAAAATGCTGGAATGGGAAATGAACGGTTTTAATAAACACTGCTTAGTTTCCCATGAGCTTGAACGTACGAAAGTTCGAAATAGTTTGGTCTCGATTAAAATAAACATATTAATACTTGCCCAGTTTTGGCGGGGGTGGGGGTGGATGGGTCAGAGATGAATAGGTTAACTTTATGATCTTTCAACCGATACCCTTACAAAAAAAAACGTAGAGACGTTACATAAGGTAGTATCTGACTGTGACCACTATCAATTGTTGTAAAATATTGCAAATACGTGAAAAACCCAAATCATATAAAGCTCTGAGAGAAGAAGACGCTTCAGTCTAAAACCCGCTGCGATCTCAGTGGTGGATATGCTGTACACGGGGAGGGCTGACTTTCAGATGACATTGACGCTGTGTAGATGAGAGTGGGGATTTGTGCTTCATGTAACGTCTCTGGCTGTTGATGTTAGACGGCGGCACAAGGCGAAGCTGCTCCTACCTTGCTTTTTTTCCTTCCAGCACCACACGCGTCTGGACAGCACCACTCAAAAGGCACTTGGCTTCTTTTTTCCCCAAGGATAGCGTTTTCCGCTGTTTGCAAACATTTCATGGAAACAACTTTCTTTTGTTGGTCCCGACAAAATCACAAGTTTGGAACTTCAAGAGAAATCAACTGATGCTCCCATCGTCTCAATACTGACTGACTTCACAACATTATTGTGAGTAAGGCTGTTTGTTTTGAGCCGTTAAAATGTATAGTAGTAGTAATTATTATTAGTGGTAGGAGCATGGACATGTTATAGCATTTTTATCAAGATGATTGTTTGTGATGATGATAGTGGTAAACAACAATAAACATTCTCAGTAGTATTGATTTTTAAATGTTGGAAGGTAAATGAAGAAACAAAGTGGAGGTAGACACGGGCACGCTGATAGCTAAAAAGGTGTTTAGTGTGTTACTTACTGAAGATCTGTACATAAAATTGCAACGCTTAGTCTTCCTTTGGATGAACTTGGAAACATATATTTGTACACGAAAGAAGAGCGCAGGATCCCGGCGCGCAAAGCTTTACGCTTTAGGCATCCTTTTGTTTTCGAATCCGACTGTGTTTCAGTGCTCCAAGAGAATGCTGTCAGTTCCCGTATCCATCAAAGCTACTGAAAAGATAACCCTGTAAGATATGTATTTATCAGCAGCACCACATTTAGTTCCTAACTATACCCTTGATACTGTAGAATAACTGCGTTTGCCCAACTTTTAAAAGCTTGCAATGTGTGCCTTTTAGGAAGCAATGCATAATAGATTCGCCAAAGTTTTCAGAAAATTATTTACTGTTTCAATACCAATTTTGATTCGTTGGTAATGTATAACCGGAAAGATACAGGAGGTACCTCATACGATTTTCGGTTTTCTTTACGCCGGCATACTGTTTTAAACTGTTTGGTCTATTTCGTTGAGGTGCACCAAAGATAAAGAAAAAAAAACTGTATCTGTATTTTTCTGCTTCCAATTAATTTCTTTATCTGGCAGTTTGGTTAAAGCCCCTTCAGACAATAAATGCATAGGAAATATACGTGAACAGAACGTATTGCGGAACAGACAGATTCATTGCGAAAAATTACACTTCGTTTATTGGTGAAGTAATTGTCTCATGTGGAAGAATTAATAATGACATCTGTATCACTGCCATGAACTGCATTTTCGTTGTTTTTATAAACGTAAAAAAATGGAATTGGAATATTTCTGCTGCTCTTTCTCGATGCATGCGTTATTACGCATTCCAGACTTGTTTACTAAACTACATGTAAAACGGAATGGTTCTTAGTGGGCAGTAAAATCTGACGTTTTATTTTATGAAATTTCGTGGTAGCCAGTACTGATTGTTGATTCATGTAATATTTAGCTATTATTCCAGTCATGTAAAGCTGTTAGGTTGTTGGTTACAAAAAAAGTCTTATGAAGGTTTAGCTGTCATTAAATTTTCATATGATAAAGTGCGCATTTCGTAGTATTTCGACATATACTTGTGTATTTCACCCATAGAATACTGACAGATCCTTTGTTTCATGTTCTCAGGTCAACGTCAATCCTGACCTGCAAGCTGTATCAGCATCTATTATTTTTTTCCCCAATATTTGGTCCCAAAGTTGGGTAAAGACCGCGAAGCTGCTGTCTACGTGGACTGGTGCTGAAATCTCCCGTCCGTCTGCCAGGACCTCTGCTAAATCCAGAGACATGGCGACAAATGGTACTAAAAGCTCGGATGGACATATCTTAACTGAAGTTAACGAAGCGCCTACAACTAACGACAAACCCAAAACCTTGGTGGTGAAGGTCCAGAAGAAGAAAAAGGACATTCCAGACAGAGAAACATGGAGTGGGAAATTTGACTTCCTCCTTTCTTGCGTTGGTTATGCAATTGGACTGGGCAATGTTTGGAGATTTCCTTATCTCTGTGGAAAAAACGGTGGAGGTAAACATGCATTTCCTTGGCATCTTTTTTTAAAGGAGTTTCCAAACTACCATCAGCAAAATTGGACATGTCGAGCATGTACCTGTAAGAAAAAAAAAGAAAAAAGAAAAGCTGATGAGTCAAAAGTCAATTGTGTTGAAATGGTACTTGTTTTCTAAATGCACGCGCTCACAACGAAACCGCGAATTTAATGTGCGAATCCAGTTATTTTATCAGTGGATTTTTAACAGAGATTTTATAAATGTGTGAAAATATTTATTCTGTTTTGTTTTTTTTTTCACCTCTTAATCCCTGTCCAGGAGCCTTCTTGATTCCCTATTTTTTGACCCTCATATTTGCTGGAGTTCCCTTGTTTCTGCTAGAATGTTCTCTCGGTCAATACACGTCTATCGGCGGGCTTGGAGTCTGGAAACTCGCTCCCATGTTCAAAGGTATTAACAGGAAAATATTTCAAGGGCGGTATTTTCGCCATCATCTATTATGTGGATATACGCACTCGATTGTATTCCTTAAGTGTTGGACCTTTACATGTATAATCCCGTTCCATTTGAAAAGTATTTAAAACGTTGTTGTTGTTGTTGTTGTTGTTTTTAATATTACGCTTATAGTCGTTGATGTGTTTGGACTTGAACCAATCGGAAATAGTTTGGATTGGACGAGGATTTTGGTAATAAATGTGCTAGTCCAAAGGTATCCTTAACATTTATTTTGGGAAATGTTATTAAATGACACGCATATTGTATATTTCATCATCTTTCTATTACCTAGATTTTTTTTCTGAGCTCAATATCCCAGTTGCCTTGTCCATTACTGAATAGATTGTGCATCATTTTCATACTTTAGGTGTGGGCCTAGCTGCTGCTGTGCTGTCGTTCTGGCTTAACATTTACTACATTGTCATTATTGCCTGGGCAATTTATTACCTGTATAACTCCTTTACCACAGTAAGTACAGAATTTCTTTTGAAAAAATATTAGCCAGACAACTGTGGCTATTTAAACGTTTAAAAGTATGCTAATGTATGTAAAGAGAGAATATAAAGATACTAAAAATTAAAAAAGTGAAACATTAAAGAATGTTTTTTTATATATAAACGTGAAATGACTACATGCTTTGATTGACTTTTTTTTCCACGTTGAATCAGCAGGTGATGTTCTAGTCAGGATCTGTTCAAAATAATGAGAGGGAAACGAAGAGTGTGGTCAAATGCATTATTCTTGTGTTTTACAGGACCTTCCATGGAAATCTTGTAACAACCCATGGAATACAGACAGATGTTATTCAAACTACAGCATTGTAAATACCACCAACCTGACCAGTGCAGTCATGGAGTTCTGGGAGTAAGACCACATCTTTGTGACGTCGAACACAACACAAAAGCAGTGAACACCTTTGTCTTATCACTCAGGCCCAGTACAAATTTAAAAAAGACACTTTGAAAGATCTGAACTTGTTTGTGTTATTAGAAATCTCACGCATGTCAATTCTGGTTTTTATAGACGCAACATGCATCAAATGACAGACGGATTGGAGAAGCCAGGCCAGATTAGGTGGCCACTAGCAATAACGCTTGCTATTGCTTGGGTTCTTGTTTACTTCTGTATCTGGAAAGGGGTGGGGTGGACTGGCAAGGTAAGAGTTTTGTGTGGTTCCCTGCTATATCACAGCCTTGCATAGTTGCAAGTTCAGATGTAATTCTAAAAAATACAGGCTTGGCTATCTGATATGGAAGACTTACTGTACAGGGATATGTGATCAATGTATTTATTTATTTTAAAATTGACACATTTTATTAATTATTATTATTATTATTATTATTATTATTATTATTATTATTATTATTATTTAATTATTAAACAGAACTTGTTATTTTTCATTTCTGCTTCAGACATAGTATTGGATAGTTATTTGGCTCCCAAGTGTTCAGAGTGTTCAAAGGAAACTGTTTATTAGAAAACATCACAAAAGCTAACATGGCTTCATGCATGTAGTGTGCTCTAAAACTTAATCGTTTTTTTAAACCTCCTCATTGCGTAATGTATGTAATATATGTTATTAACTATAACAATTGACTGGGGCTTAATTTGTATTGATCTATACTTTGAATTGATTTACCTTAACTAAATACACAGATCAGTGTTGTGAACAGACTCTGATTTTTGGAGGCCCACTGTTATTACTGTACCATTCATTTACCTGGCTGTTTTAGGTGCCTAATTGTGTTGTTTTTACTATAAAAGGTCTCTGAAGTCTTTTTTGTTCCAAATCAAGATTAAGTACATTTTACGCTTAACCTTTGATATGTTTAACCATGGAAAGTTCTGTACAGATCTATTTTTTTGTACTGTAATGGGACTTTGACAGTGGCTCTGATTAACAGCACTGTAGTGTACATATGCAGTGCTCTCATGCTCTCATACTCTCAACCAGAATTGACTGTGTTTCACTTTGTTTTCCAGGTGGTTTACTTCTCAGCTACATACCCTTATGTTATGCTTTTCATTTTATTTATCCGTGGAGTCACTCTTCCCGGAGCAAAGGAGGGAATCTTATTCTACATCACTCCCGAATTTAGCAAACTTAAAGAATCTGAGGTAGTATTTGAACCAGATGTATCAAATTTCAGACCATAACATTCTTGAATCAGAATTCTCATCAGGAACATATTCCTTTCTCTTTACAGGTGTGGTTGGATGCAGCAACTCAGATTTTCTTTTCGTATGGTTTGGGTCTTGGTTCTCTGATTGCACTGGGGAGTTACAATCCTTTCAATAACAATGTGTACAGGTAAGGGAGTGATTTCCACGTCAAGGAAATTAAACCCCTTTTCAGGAATCAAATACATTTTTATAATACTGTAGGTTCATGGAATGGTTCCCTTCTTATTTTTTGCCTGTATTCCTACTAAGAAAAAGAGAGAAAAAAACTCTGGCTGTCTGGTCATGTAGGTCCTGTCTGTAAGAAAGTCAGCTGCTGCAGTTCTTAGCCTAAGGGATTTTATAGGCTTCTGTCTTCTGTTGGCATAGTAGTTGGATTTTGAGGCCTGTATAACAAATTAGCCAGGGAAACCCAAGACTATTTGTGAATATGTGATTTAAAGCTGCCATTAAATCAGTAGCAATTAAAGCAGTAAGGGTTACAAAAGATAATTGTATATGATTTGTGGTGAAATGACCAAATATATCCAGTAATATCTATGTGTGTTTTGTTGTTTTGTGTCACTTAGGGACTCTATCATTGTGTGCTGTATCAATTCTTCTACCAGTATGTTTGCTGGCTTTGTCATCTTTTCTATTGTTGGCTTCATGGCACATGTTACAAAGAGACCAATAGCTGATGTGGCTGCATCAGGTAAGTTTAGTACTGTAAATGATCTTGCCATAGTCAGCATAAGGTTACCTTTAAATATCTAAATATAACATTTTGCATTTGCGAACTGGTGTTTCAAACAGAATGTTAGATAAATATCTAAAGTAAGCATGCAGGAACATCATCCTTTGCATTTTGTGAGCACAGATATAATTCATTATAAAGTAACTTGAAGAACATCAGTGTTAAATTACAAAGTTAAAAGTTATGTTAAAATATATTGTGTCTTTCTTTCTAAGGGCCCGGATTGGCCTTCTTGGCTTACCCTGAAGCTGTGACACAGCTGCCGATATCTCCACTATGGGCTATTTTGTTCTTTTCCATGTTACTTATGCTTGGAATTGACAGCCAGGTAACATTCTGGAATTATTTCCCCCCAAAAAATTGTTTTAGGAAGTTTTGTAGTGCATCTCACTATTTTTGTCTGTCTTTTTAATATTCTAAGCATTATGGCATACGTTTTAGGTTAAGACGAACAGGTGCATTTACATTTCTTGGTAAATACTCACGTAATCGATATTTTCCATTAATGGTCCTGATCATTTTAAGAGAAGCAAACAAATAAGGTTAATTAAGAAAAAATATTTCTCTCCCTGAACTCTTTCCAATTGTCGTTCTTCAGTTCTGTACAGTGGAAGGATTCATTACTGCTTTGGTAGATGAGTTTCCACGTCTCCTGCGAGCTCGAAGGGAAATCTTCATTGCTGTGGTTTGCCTTGTGTCATATCTGATTGGGTTATCAAACATCACTCAGGTAAGCATTTCGCTCGTTTGTAGTGTTTTTCATGTAGTTGGTATCCGACTGTGATCTTTTTTTCTAAACCAGCCCTGTTACTGGCACAGCTAAAGAGCTAAAGTCAGACTTTTGTCTTTCATTTAGAGTCGGCAATATTTTCTTTGTGTAGACAACAATTTCTAATCTTCAGCTCATACATTAAAATCTCTGGATCTGCGAGAGAGGAATACGGATGGAATAGACTTTACTGTGTACTGCTGTGTACCACCATTTTCATGTTTTGAATCCACTGATGCCTGCAGGTCAAGGATCATCAGACAGAGGAGTGATGCAGCTCTCGCTGACAGCAGTGCAATCTCATTGGTGTCTGACTAGTCATATTGGTTGCTGAGAGGCAGACCTAGGATACCCTTACTGAGAGAAGCTCTTCGAACCCACTCAGCATTTCGCCTCTTTGATGTGCTCCTAGTCACAGTTAATAATATGAAAATATAATTTCATCATATTTAAGGCATGTGGTAAAAAACATACATTAATCTATCCATTTTCTAACCACTTTATCCAATACAGGGTCATGGGGGAGCCAGAGATTATCCTGGCAAGCAATAGGTGCAGGACAGGGTAGACTGGATGGGATGCCTTTGCATCACAGGGCATATACAGTACACAGAAACACACACTTGCACCAGGGACAGTTTTGCCAGAATCCAATTAACCTACCAGTATGTCTTTACTGTGGGGAGGAAACTGGAGCAGCCAGAGGAAATCCACATGAACACAGAGAGAACATAAATAATCCACACAGGTAGTGCCACGGGAATTGGACCCGTAGTCCCAGGCCTGTGAGTCAGCCACCACTGCCCTTTTCCACCTAATAAAAAATGGTATGACCCTAATAACCCAGATATGGTGAATTTAAGCCAGGGCAATGTCACTAGGTGACTATAACAGGATTTTTTGCTACTGGCAGCACACAAAAATAGGGTTGGGATGAGTAGGCCAAGGTTTGGTTTACAATCAAACAAAAACTCTTGAATTCTCAGGCCTCTGAGGTGTCAGTGAAGGACTTCAGCTCTTCCAGTCAGTTCCAGCTCTCCTGTCAGGCGTTATGGACCATGTACCTGTCAGACAATGAATGGCTTGATATCAATTAGCATGTCTGTCCTTCCTCATTCTCCCTGTTCTTTACAGGACTTGAACCTGACAGCTAAGATGTAAAGAAAAATTTAGCATTCTCAAATTTGATTGTTGTAAAATAAGACAAAAAACAAAATAATGTTAAAAGATAACTTCATATTAAAAAGATGAAGAAGACAGTAGATTTACCATTCTCTCAATATAACTTAAAATCAGAATAGAAGGTTTTACAGTTTTGATTTTGAAATCCAGTGCTTTGTTTAAAATAATCTAGGACTAATGGAGAAAGCACTTTATTTAGTTTAATTCCTGCCAGAAGACAAATGCTGAAAATGTGGGTCAATGTCACTGTCCTTATTTGGCTGATAAACATCTAAAATAATGAAATCATACTCCCTGTTACTTCTACTGGGCAGAAAGCATAATTTTAAATGGTTTCTCTTTTGTAACCCATTTCTTGTCTCAGTAAATATTCTCGATGATTATTAAGCATAGACATCAAAGGCATCCACTTTCCTGTAGGAACATGACATTGAGCTCTTTTGCTTAAACCTTTGTATTTTATATTTTTCTAGATTTAGCTGTGTGTCTAGCTATTTCTAGGCTTTTTATTGAACTCAACAAAAAATAAAGGTCCCTATATGCTGTCAGTTTATTTTAGGATTACAGTGCATCTTTACTAATTTGTTGTTGTTTATTTGTAAGCAAATAGATGCATGCAATTTTTAAAGTAAATAGATGTATTTAAATTTTATTAGCCATGACTATAAAGTACATTTTTAGAATAAAATGAATAGAACCAATAATGTTAGAATAATTTCAATTGGAAGAGTGTATGTTGTCTATTCTTATTGTTTATCTGAAAATTATTATCTGAAAATTCTATTAAGATGTTTCTTCAAATTCCTCACAGATCTTCTTTAACAACAATTAAATACAGTAGGTAATTAGTTCGAGACTCACATAACACTCTGTTTTAAAACAATGTATCAATACTAACACCTTTACTATAGTATAGTACTTTGTGCTAAACCTTTATAATAATGGTCTCATGTGTAATATTTTAAATATTTTCCATAAAAGTCACAACCAGACTGACTATCAATGTGATTATGTCATCAGGGTGGGATCTACGTGTTTAAATTATTTGACTACTACTCAGCCAGTGGGATGTGTCTGCTGTTTCTGGTCTTCTTTGAGTGCATTTCCATATCCTGGTGCTATGGTATGTATTACAGTCATGATGTAAAACTCACCTTAAAATCCTTATGCATTTAGTTATTTTTTGTCCATTTATACGGGAAACTATAAAGTATGAGAGCATGTTTTTAAATCCCTTTTCTCTGTCAGGAGGCAATAAACTATCACTTTCTAATTTGATAAATTCCCGGATTCCTGAGGAGACACTAACAGAACACATTGCATGTCTGTGCATTTCTGTCTCTTGAAGGTGTGAACAGGTTTTATGACAACATTCAAGAGATGGTCGGATACAGGCCGTGTTTATGGTGGAAGCTGTGCTGGTCCGTCTTCACTCCTTTAATTGTGGCTGTAAGCATCCTTTTTGTTTCTTTAAATGATATTTAAACATCTGGTTTGAATAAAATATACAGAATACAAAATTTAGTATACAGCATATACAAAAATATATACGTACAACTATACATTATATGCAAGATTTTATAGATTATATTTGACCAAATCATAAAAATGCAAAAAAAATGTCTGTCTTAATGATGGCTTGATGTCTTTTTATTCTCTCTAAACCTCTAGGTAGGTTGGATTATAGTGTACAAATAAATGACTGAAAAGTACAAGAATAGGAGGTTTCTATCTTGTAAAAAGGTTAAAAGATTAAGAAATCAGGGCATCAGAAAGTCTCGAATCACAAATTCACTGCTCTATGGCTACACTTCTGCCTATGATGTTTTCATGACTGGTTGTCAGAAAACTGCATTGACTCAGTTCCTTTTCAAGGGTTCTGTAGGGTAACACAATTCTTGTGTTGCTTTAGGGTGTGTTCCTCTTCAGTGCGGTGCAAATGGTTCCACTCACCATGAACAACTATGTTTTCCCGTCATGGGGACAAGGAGTAGGATGGTGTATGGCTTTGTCTTCCATGGTGTTAATCCCTGGCTATATGGGTTACATGTTTCTCACACTAAAGGGCTCATTAAAACAGGTAATTTCTTTCACTTGTTTGGTTGCTTTTATATTGGATTTTTTATTTGCCATCTTCTTTTTTTGACAGTCTTAGGCATCAATTGGCCACAGGACTTTTGGGAATATAAAATATGACATTTTGTTATATTACACAGATTATGAGTATTTCAGCTTTTCATGAAAGACATATTGCATTGAGGGTGTATATACTGCATCGTCCTTTATTACAGTATTCAGGATTTTGGGTATTTAGGATCACTTTAGATTTTCAAATAACCATACAACCCCATGGACCATTATTTAACCCACTCCAGGGTAAGAAAAAGTGCACAACAGTATTTATCGGTAGTCTTAATATAAATGGATAATATGGAAAGAAAATGAATACTGATATATACTGTTATATTCACACAAAAAAACTGTTGTGAAAAAATATTTTAAAACGTAATTAACTCAGGCCAATAAGAGCCATGACACCTGTTTATCATTGTTCTATTGGACATATTCAAACAACTGAATAGAACTTCAACAGCAGGTCTAGTTACAGACCATTACTATACTGCTGTGACATAAGAAAAGCTATGCTGGTCATGCAGAACCACTGTGTCAGCTTCTGAGAGAGCTGTTGTTTTACAACAGGCTTCAGACCTGCCAAATAAAGAATGGAAAAGCTCGCCTACCGTATTTGCAGCATCTGTGCATGAAAAGTCTATTCTCCATTGCTATGCCTTGGTTACAACCATTTTAACTTCCTAAATAAAATATACAACTTTATATACTGTAGCATCACCAACTACAGAATCATCAGGGGTATTTATTTAAAGTGAATTCTTTCTATGTGCCTTCCAGCGTCTTCGAATAATGACTCAGCCTTCGGCAGACATTAGGACTCAAGAGAATGGACCCGAACAACAGACAGAGAGTACCAATCCTACTAATGAGGAAGCTTATATTTAAATCCTGCTAAACAAATGCTCACTTAAATGCAGAAAAACGTAATCATGGTTGAACGTGACCAAGGACTTCCATGTCTGAAATATATTCACCTACCTCCAGGGGACAAAATGTGACCAACCTGATTACAAAAATTGTTCTTTTTTAATTTGTAAAAACTTACCCAGCAATGTCCTAGTGATAGTTTGTATTGCATATGCAAAATGTTAGACTGTTAGTGTTTCTAAAATGTTAAACTGTATCTACAGAATCACTACAATTTAAATTACACTTGAAAATTGAATTTTAATGTGTAATATATCAAACCAGAGAAAACCGCAAGGCCCAATGTGATTAAATACTATTGAGCTAACGTTTCAACTATTTTCATGTAATTATGCTATTAAGCAACATAATATTGTTGTGAAATTAATCATTAGAATAGATTAAATATGATTGTACAATAATTAAATATATAAAAAGAAGATTAATGTGTTTACGAGGCAGGTAAATGCAATATGAAAATTGTGTTCCGAATTTCAAGAATTAAAAGCAATGATTTTTATGGGAATGTGCATCAGGCAAGGACAAATTCTTGTGATAGATGTGTTACGTTTTGTAACCAACATTTTTTTTTTTTTACAAATTATTCCTTGTTTTTTTAAATAAACAAGCTGTTTTGTTCACCCACAGTCCTGGGACAAATTATGCATAAGCACATGCCCACTTGGGATTCTAAATGGCAATTATCAGAGCCCTTAAGGTAATAACTCTTCTGTCACTAAACCAGATTAATGTTGCAACAGACTGTTACAATTTTATCTTAATTTTCTAAAAATCTTTGTATGAGATCGAACTCTTTTTTTTAGGATTGTTGAAGTTTTCTACTTATTCAATTAAGTGAGAAGGACCAAAATCATTAAACACATAAAGGCATTTATTCATGTGTGACATCTAGATTTGATGAGACCAAAATGAACAAATCTCCATGTTTATGCAACACACAGGGTAAAAAAACGTTGTTATCATTCCAGCAACATTTTATCAAGTGACAGTCCAGAATTCTAAAAAGTCAGACCTTCTTGTTTCATTAATATGCCACTCCTCAGGTACTCATGAAAAATAAATGGTGAAAGTGACCAAATTTCTCCTGAAACTTATTAATAAGTGCTGTGAAGGGCTTAAGCCTAAAGTCAATCATTTTATTTTAAGCCATAGTCTAATTATATGACTGTGCAGGTTTCCAGTACTAAACCTAACTAAATCTTGAAACCTTACCACCAAACTTTAATTGTCATCAGACAACAGGCCAATCACAGTACAGGATATTTTAATTTTTATAGAAAGTATATAAATAATGGAGTACTTTGGCAATAAAAATATAGATATATATAGAGTCATATAAAAAGAGAAAGAGTTGACTGTTTTCTTTTTCCCTGTTTATTTAGTTTACCAGTTAAAAGCACAAAGCTTTAACTTGCAATTGCCATTGTATTTACATAGAGAAACCGTTAGTTTGCTTCTGTGGCAGCTACAAGCAACAGGGATCTGGTTAAATAAGTCATTTTTATTCTCTGCAAAGCTATATAATGAAAATGTGCAATGAATAACCAACTGTTCAGTGAATTTTGTATAAAGTTACTATACTGCAGTTTTATCTCTTAAATAATGTCGTAAAACTGTACTGTGTATAACATGTAACTGTGAATGTCTGTATGACCTTTGAAGTTTCCGTCTAAATGTTAAATAATATTATTTGCTGTTTTCTGCAATAATATGTTGATCTCAGAATCTTAAGCACATATCTTACTGAAATGTAAAAATAATAATAATAGGTACTATGTCTAGTAAAATAATGTTTTGTATATTTCTATGTTACATGGGCCTAATGTATAATAATAATATTCTATATAAAAATAACATACCATGTAAATGTCTTTAGATGGTGTTATATGAAAAAAGCATGACTGTCCTATATATGTTACTTTCAAAAACAAATAAAGAATTATAGATTATGTGATTTGCTGCTTCTTAAATATTTGCTGGGACAGCATGAAATTCCATTTTCTTCTCCAAGTTGCATATCTGTGTAATCCACTGGAGTTTAATAAGCTCCATGACTGCCTCAAGGTATCATCATCATTTATGACTCATGTAAAGTAGGCTGCAAAATGAGGTCATTTAACCAAAAGAAGTTTGTAAACGTTTTGCACCACATTTGAATTGCTGAATAAGTCTGTAACCTTACAGTGACATTTCTGCTTTGGATATACAGTATTTGCTGTGAGTTTTAAAATATTTATAGTTTTAACTAAGAGCTTATTGATGCCTTACATTACAAAATGTTATATCTTCAGAAGTACAATTAAGTATCCACTTAGTTAATGTCGGATTGATAATGTCTAATCTTGTTTCTTTTCTGGCTGTTTCATAAGGCAGTATGGACCTGCTAAGAAATGATTGGTAACTGCAACGCTGAAAAAGCTGCTTGAAAGTGATACTGGAAAACACCCAGAGCATGTTGTGTTGGGAGATAATGTGATTATTAAATTAATAAGAACCAGCATGGTTTTCACTCATCTCTACACTCAGTAGACCCCTGCATCACATTGAATTTAATCCAAGACCCGTCAGATAAAGTCTTAATTCCTGCAAGAAACCTAAACAGAACTCAATCGAAAACTGGCAAAATGTCCGAAAATTTCCAGAAAATATGTTGTAACCCAGTTTATTTAAAGCAGTTAAATTCCCGTTTTTAGTTAACATCGAGTGGAAACGGATTCACCGGCTGAATGAATAACGAAACAGCACTTACTAATAGCACTCTATTTTGTCCCCATCAAATATTTAGATTCGGAGTGGATTATTTGAAATGCAGACAATAAACATTTCTTATGTCAAGTCCGAAAGCACAATAGTCATGACAGCGTCTTGTCTTCTCCTGCCTGTTGTTTGCGTGTGTTTAATGGAGACCTTTTTAAACTGTGAACGCAGATGTCCTGATGTATACTACAAAGAGGAGGTGCAGTTCCACCTCATACGTACTGTACACTACAGCCCTGCCCAAGACTGAAGCTCGGTAAAGCATTGTACAAAACCCTGATATTTTATGTAGGTCAGTTGTGTCTCTGAGTAATGTGCAAAGTAGAAATTCTGTGATCTAATTCTAAAATAATCCCGTTTCCCTAGAAGAGGCCTGCCAAACGAGTGGATAACTTTTTTTTTTTATTTTTAGATACAGTAGCACTTCGTTTTGAAGAAGAGGAAAGTCTAAAGTAAGTACTTCAAAGTTTACCGGCACGAAACATTGTGGTCTTTAAAGAGGTGAAGTAAAAAATAAATGTCGTTGTTTTTGAAAATGTGTCAGCTGTACATATTGGATAAAAACAGTGCTGTACCACTGTTAGTTTTTTGGAATGACCCCTTACAACATCTTCGAGGAAAGGATGACTAGATTAAACAAATATTTATATACGGGGGAAAAAAACGTTTTTATGTGCAGCTACAAAACTGACGTGATTTCGTGTTTATCATTTTAAAACTTAGTTACTAACTTTTTCGAACGATACACACGTAGCTCGATTAAAATGGCGAACCTTTGAATTTATAGATTCACAAAATCAGAATTACAATCAAGCCGCTGTAACGTCAATCCTGTATGTAGATTTTGGAATGGAAAACTCTTGCATCACCAGCATTTGCAAAACTTTCTGATGAAGAAAATTACATGTACTGTGAAATGAGCCGTGAAAAGGTACAATAGCATTGCTTTACGTTATTGTATTTAGGAAAACACAAACACAATGGACGTGCCACCAGCCTATCGCAGGACACATACTGTACAGACATACTGACTAGTAATGTCATTTACTAGTATGTCTTTGGACTATGGAGTAGAGCACCAGCACAAACCCATGTGAACACAGTGAGAAAATGCAAACTCCACAAAGATGATCTTATGTTAGTATAGAAGACCTGTTCACTCAGATGGAAAGGAAGTTCAGGCGTTTTGTAACATTACCTGGGTTTTCAGGTAATTAAGTAAGCGTAACACCATCTAGGGCAAATGTATAATACATCAGCTGCTTAAAAAGAAATTCACAGGTTGGGCCAACTTGTATGTGGTCCCAACAAAAAGTTAGCAAAATGGCTTTTGTTGTTTTTCTTCACAAATGTAAACACCTTATTATTCATCTCATCTTTTCCCGCAGTAAGTGCATGGTTTTGTTCTTATCTCTGTCCTTTAAGTTCCAAATAATTGATTTTCCATTTGTGTGAGTTCTGTCATTTGACAGAAAGGTAGGGAGGCCTTTGAACACTGAGAAGGACTTGTCTTTTGCTTTAAACAGATTAATAATGAAGACCCGTTTACTGCTGGCAGTTATGCTTTCTTTCTGCACCTGTGGCTTTTCAACTGTGCTTCATTCCACGAAAGGAACAGAACTGCATGAGGATGCAGAAGCCAAGACAGTAGTACCAACGGCAATGGAAGTGAGCTTTAGAATTGTTGGTAAGTTTTCAATCTGTCGCTTGTTTTATTCAGGAATAGGATTTGATCTAATCTACTTTGTGAAAAGGGGAGACAGACATCTGTTGTATGTGCTTTTTTGAACTGGAAGGCAGGGATAACCATTGTGAAACCTAGCAATTGTTCCATGTGTGGAAATACATGTACAGTATTTGTATGGATTCCCTATACAAATTCCCTAGTGATCACTTCTAAAAGATACTCATTCATGGCAACACTAGAGAGAGACCAGGGCTGTACTCAGATCATAACCTCCCCCACCAAAATTCCTGAAGGCAGAGCATTGGGTATTCTCTGTAAAATGGCTTCTTTTGTAACGAATTAAAACTTATTTCGAGCCTTCACTGAGCTGTGCTGTGACTTTACTGTCAGCTGATTTTTGTTCCAACTGAGCTGGCTTTTTTAAGTGGAGCCCGAATAAAAGGAATAATTTTGCCAATTGACCTTTTTGAATTATATTTGGTGTTGGGATTTGAAAATGTAATCTTGTCAGGAGCAGAAAATGAAGAAAGGGGTCAATTAGTCAGATTATCGTTTCAAGTAAGGTTCAAATGTGAAAATGAAAATGTAGGTGAATTGAGAAACATCAGGCAGTGGAGTCACCAAGTCCAAGAGTAGGAAGCTCATCTTAGAGATTCATCAAATGCTGTTACATTTTGTGTTAACCAGCTGATTGTCAGCTAACTTCTTCTTTAAATATTACATGCTATACATACTGCTTGATCAGGTCATGAATGGAACAGGTGAAACTAAGCACACAATCTCTAACCACCACTGGTATACACCCATTTATACCAGAAGACCCATGACACCTGAAGAAGGCTCCACGGCCGAAACGTTGTGTTTTTTCTCTCTTCTTTTTTTCAGCATGGAATAAACCTATTACTTGTTCCTCTGCAGCCTACGCATGCTGACGCAGCTCCCCACCTGAACTAATACACAATGTTAGCAGCTGCCTGCCACACTAGCCCCAGGGCAAGGAATAATTTACCAAATAGATGCTGTAGGCTCATTCTGTAAAATGTACAGACTTCAAAATGTAAATATAGACCTGCCATTTCCAACTGATTGCTTTGATGTACTGGCACCTGAAACACTGTAAAACGAATGATACCATTCACCTGGCACTGTACATATACTGTATGTGCTTGCCTTAGAAGACTGTATTGCAATATTCTAGGCTAAGTATCCGGGTCATTTAAATCAGGAATTGCTTTACTGCATGTTAGTAAGCACGTTGTCAGACATATTCTCCTTCAGCCTATTGAATCCTCAAAAAATAATGTAGTATTGGATGTATTTCCTCTACAGCAAAATATATGCTTTGTTATTCCAAACTAAAGTTGACATTTTCTTTTTCTTTTTTTTAAATTTTAACATTTGTTTCTTAAGTACTGTGGAAAAAAAACTCGCAGAATGTCTGCTGTTCTAAAGCTGACTT